TAACGATGTGAGCCCGGTCCTTTCGGTGAAGATATACCTTGTGCGTCTTGTGCGATTATGTGTGCCAGACCCGTGGGACTGCCAGTGATGCCGTATGTTCGGAGCAAAGAACGAGCCGACTGTCGGTTCTGGCGTTGTTTTCGCGGTGTGATACCGGTTATCCTGACCATAACTAACATTTCAGCTAAATATCTTGGCAAGCTTCGGTATCTCCTCAAGCCATCTCTTGATTCATGGTAAAGGGATCGAAACGACGCTCCATAACAAGGGGCATGACATGGACAAAGCCAATCACTTCAGGAGAATTCCGCAGAGAGCAGGAACACATCGAAACGTACATATATATGACTACCCACACAAGAGGGTTAGGCAATCCGACTCTCGACTTTAATCCGCAGAGAAGTCGAGATCCATGCGACAGGAGATCTAGTACAATGACGGCTCCACCAACCCTTCGAAGAAAGCAGTCCGCGAGAAAACCTTACTCAGAGCTGATCCGCACAGCACTTCTTCGTAATGGAAACAAGCCTATGAGTCTCAATCAGCTTTACGACTGGTTCGAATGCCACGTGGACGATGGCGTGCCCTGGGTCAAGAGCAGCATCCGCCACACTCTCTGTGTACACCAGGTCAGTGCTTCCGCTTGCGGTCATCATATTACACAGTAGTGAATGGTGCTAGAATGTTTGGTGCCAAGATGTTCGGTTTGGCTTTTCCAACATGGCCAAATTCCACGCACTCCACCAGATACATCTGCTTAATCATGCAGGCATTCATCAAGAGTCAAAGCGGCCGGTCGAATTGGCGTCTGTCGTCGAATCTGCAACATAGCGTTAAATCGATGAGTCCGCCTCATAAGTCCGTCACACCATCTTTTCACACCGAATTCTCTTCGAAACCAGGGCGGCACGAGACCACCTTCGACGATCATTGGCTTGGAGTCCCTCTCGAAAGTATACCCGAGCTAGATGGAACTTCAGCGTTTGCATTGCATACCTCTATGGCCACTGTAGACGAGCAATCAGTCGTGGACAACCCGGGTACAGACTTTCAACTGCCCCCCTCAGTGGCGAGTCGCCGCCCCATTTACATCGTATTATGATTATCGTGCCAACGACTAACACCCAACTAGGTCTGCTTCTCATGCCTGCTAAGTAGCGATTCGCAATGTGACGGCCAGAGCCCTTCTTGCAATCAATGCTTGCGGCTTGGCTTGACGTGTGAGGAACGACGACCAAGTTTTAGCGGCAGACAAAATGTTCCTCAGGGTTCCTCCTAACGTTACAATCCCGGGGGTACCTCGTCGAATTACCGTTGATATCGGACGGAAATAATCAAATAGACAGATGTTACTATTAGGAAGCGTCGAAAGAGAACAATAGCCGATTATGCCCTGTTTTGCTGCTTGTTTCTGGTCAGTGTTATGGACAGCGTATTGAAGAACAAACGATACCTTCGATGTAAAGGAATCCACTAAAGGCAGGGCACGCGTGATCACACCAACCAGTCGAAAACTCTTTTAGCTTAACGTTGGGCGTTGTTTCGTTCAATTGGTGGGAGAGAGAGTGGGCCCAACTTTTCGGATGTGCTGGGCGGCACAACAAGCTACACCAGTTACAGGCCACTCCCGAACCCTTAGCACAAACACCGCAATATAACTTATAAGAACTATTTATCTAGGATTTCTTCCCTCTACGTCATTCTACCTATGGCAGACCGACTGTGGCAATATGTCGTACCCAAGTAGGTTATGCTGTTATTTTCTATCGTGATAACGGTCAATGACAAACCCAAAAGAAGATGCCGATCAGTCCCGCACCCCTTTCGTTCCCAACCCCGGCCCTAGTTGTCGGCGAGATCTGAAAGCGGCTGGAGGGGTTGCGAAAACCATGCTGGAGTCCAGTTCTTCAACGCCCTATGGAGAGCTCTAGTAGGTAGACATATTCTGTGATGCCTGAAATTTTTAATTCGTCATCTTTTCCGGTTCAATTTTCCCATTCACTCGTTGCGAAGCAACTGCAACAAACCACCGTGTGTGCCGCCGCCGCCGCCGCCGCCGCAAAAAGTATACGTATACGTAACATAACGTCTTATGCTTACCCAGCCCTACCTCGAGACCGAAGTGCAGCCTGGACCTGGTTGGAGCGGATCTGCGAGTGCGTCTTAACGGTGACTTCGGCACCAGCGTCGAGGAGCAAATTCACGGCCGCGAGGCTGTCGTTGCGCACAGCAAAGTAAACGGGCGGCTCGCCCCACTCTCCAGGTATGTTCGGATCAGCCCCGTTCTCCAATAACAGTCTGGCGCACGCGAGGTTGTTATACAGAATCGCGACACCCAGAGGCGTATGCCAGAATGTCTGTTGTTGGCCTTCCTCGTTGATCCACCCGCTGTTCTGTGCGTTGATCAGAGACATGCACGCGCCTCTGACGCCTTCTCCGTGGCCATCGTCACCACGCCCAAGAAAGAGTTTGAGGAACGGGTACCCTTCAGTCTCGTTGTCTAGGTCGGGCGGGCCAAGATCGCCACACACGGTGTGTAGAATTGTGTCTCCAATCCTGTCGCGCAAGCTGAGATCCACTCCTCGGGTGAGTAGGTCGCAGACTACGTCCATCTTCCGTACGCGCCCGGGCTGCTGGTAGGCGGTATTGTCCTGGTAAAAGTCACGAGCTGGCGTTCTGAGCACTGCATGGAAGATATAGTCACGGTACGCATTGGCAACTCTGCCTGCGAAGTTGTGGGCGGGATTGTAAGCTAGCGTGCCGATCATCTGCGTGCCGTGGAGACAAGCGTCGCAGAGGACCTCGGAATTGGCAGCAGACAGTGAAACACCAGCATGACAGAGAACTTCGACTTGCTCCAGGCGGTGGCTTCTGACGGATTCAATCAAGTCGTCCTCGGCTGACGAGTGAATCGTCGCTTGGCCGGAGGACCACGAGTCGGTGGGAGAGCCGACCAAGGTACTGTCTGATGTTGAGCTCGCCGGCGTCAATGGGTTTTCCCGCTGCTCTTCTTCCGCCCCAGGGCTACTCGGACTGGCGTCTGCCGTGTCCGTGTGGACGCCGGAGTCATCGGGGCGGAGAGCTTCGGACGGTGAATGGCCAGCTGAAGACGACCTAAGCCACGCACGGACGGCCAGTAAGCTCGTCGCCGGGTCTGCCGACCCCACGTCGGGACCATGCCCGGGTTCATCCACCAGTGTTGAGGCGACACTGTATCTGGGAGACCATGGAGATGGCGGAGACTCATCGCCAACGAGCGTTTCGCCCGAATAGGAGCTCGTAGGTGTCAAAGGCTGTGTTCGAGCGTTCATGCTAGAGTAGAAGTCTAGATGTGTTTAGGTAGGTTAAGTACAAGCTATGTCCCTATCGCAGGCGACTGGACTGTTTAGATTATATCGAGCGCTACAGAAGACGCAAACGCAAGCTCTTTGCTTTGAAGTGTCGACCGTCTTGTATTGACGCCATACGAGGTAGTCTGCATGGGGACCCATTTTCACTCGTGATGCGCCGCACGTCACTCTTCCGATGTCCTAAAGAATGCCGTAAGACGGTTATTAATACCCTCTTGTGAGACATCATGTAATACTCGACGTGGTCGGTGTCTGGCGCCTGACGTCTCGATTGTGAACGAAAAAGACAGAATGGAAACACAAGCCTGCCAAGCAGGCTGATGACAAGGCGGCCAGTCACATGATTACTCGATTGTGTAAGTCTTCTGCGCTAAGCTTCCTTGAGAACTCAAAGCGCAGTCTATGCAGCTGCTTCAATGAGCTCTGTATTCCTCTGCATTTTGCTGTTGCTGAGTACCTTACCTGATCTCCAGACGAAACGCTCGGACGTGGTCGGGTGGTTAAGGTGGGGCGTGTGTCAAAGTGGGCAGCGAAGTCCATTGAATCCTGTCTCGTCATCAGACAACGAACAAGAGTAAAGGCTAACATAACCAACAAACATGCAAAATCACTCAAGACGTTTATGTTTATTATTCCATTGCGATAAGGCAAATGGCGGAGAAGACGCGTCAGAAGGCATAATGTTAACAGCAGAAACGACAGTGAGACGCATCAAGGCGGAACGCACCTACTTTTGCTGTTCATCTCTTGTAGAAGTGACAATCAATGCCCATGATTGACTGAGAATCAGCACGAAATGAACTCTGTCCCTGTCAACTTACGATGCTCAATCTGCTCCGAGTTGGCGATGTTTTCACTCGAGTTGCCCTGCTGCGGAAGCTTGATCTGTGGCTACTGTAGGTGACGCGGCAACGGCTCTGTAAAACAAATGAAATCTCATGCGCCACAGGTACATACTCCCAAGACTCACGGTGTCTCGTGTGCGAACAGACAGTCCAGAACAGACCAACAGTGGCCAGAGAGGCCCGACTATCGATCAAAGAGTATCTCAGGCAGCTTCTCCAGACTTATAAGCGTCTAAGACCGTAGTCGACAGCTGTTAACATTTACTCGCATTCGGTACAACGCCCGTGTCTGGAACGATCAGCAGCGTCGTGACTGCGAGAGAGTTGCAAGCTGGCTTCCTTTCTTTCTAGGTCAGTGAGTCGGGGCTTGAGCGCGCGATTCGCTGTAAGGGCTTTCCAGGTTTAGTCGTCCCATATACTCAGCAACATTGTGCTTTCGTCGTAGCAGCATAGGTGGAGTCATTAATTACTCCATACGTCCGGAAGGTTAATTACGTAGCGTGAAGTGCCGCAGGCCACGACGACCAAATACATCGTCTATCACTTTATCAAAACTTTCTTCTAATCCGGCCATGAGACCACTTCGCCCCCTGTCTTGTGTGCCGCGAGTCCGCACTGGCCATTGCTCCTTCATCATTCGTCGCACAGCCCAGCGTGATCCAACTAGCGAGATTATTCAATTCAATGCACTCAAGAGAGAAGACCCCAGATGACTACGAACCACAGCGACGAGAGCTAGGTTGAAATGTGACATTCTGGTATCGAATGCAACTTTCGGACAGGATCCGTTAACAGAACGAAAACAGATAAGACTGCCCGACCGCTCGTACGGATTACTCAAAAGCATGATGACAACACTACGTCAAGGCATCACAATTTGTCATTGTTCAGAAGCGGTGAGATGTTGCTGTGTTAATCTGATAACCATTTCGCGGAAGGGCAGACAGATATTAGAGCTGCCATCCGTTCAGTACAAATGCGGTCTCCCCCAATCCGACAGGCATCTCTGACCTGAAACTAAATGAACGCAATGAGATTGGGCCGGTGCTCATTTGCATTATCTCTTGCGTACACTACCGTTTGTTTTTCCAACATCAGGCCGCGATCGTTACCAACGACAACAGCGACATTCCCAGCGGAAGAATCGCTTGTTGAAGCGCATGCACTGCCGCCGTCACAAGGAAGCATCATCGGTGGCCAAGCTCTTGCGTATACTATGTGTGTCGTAGCTGTACTGGCCGCAATCGCAGCTCTTGTTTATCTTGTCTGGCAGAAACGACAACAGCCTCTGACCTCCAGATTGTCAAGCGGCAGTGTCCAAACTTCATCTCCACTTCTCAACAAGATAGGCATTACGTCTGGACGTCTTCCACAGCCTCCGCCTCGCATTCACAACGTGAGGACATTCAACCCTCACATTAGCAGCGGGCCTCGACATCCACGCTCAAATCGTGCTTCTCTCGTGAGCTCGCGGTCGATATTTTGGAAGCAAAACAGAGATGAAAGGCAAGGTAGTGCTGAATAAGACGGAGACAGCTCGAATTGCGGATGGGGAATGGTGCACACTTATCCTAAGTGGAGCCGTGAGCTCTATTGCACTCCAAGGCGACTCTATTCCTTCAGGTGGGGTTTTTTGGCGTCTCGATGCTCTCATTCTTTGCGAGAGTCGTGGGCAAACGCGATAAGCGCATCGTGTTGGCTGATATCCACCACATCTTTGTGATTCTAGGATTGCCATCGTGCCTGTTCTAAATTCGGGTTGACTGCCAGAGGCAAGCAGAAACGGGGCTTACGCCATTCAATTCGGGAAAGAATCAAAAGTCCACCCACGTTGTTCTCCTGTGTCATCTGATATCTCCAGATGGTTGACGTGGGCAATATACCAATGATCCGATCCTTCACGGTGACCACGTCGCTTTGGCCCACTGTGGCGTTTGTGGCGAGATATACAGAGCGATGGATTCGCTGGTGCTTTGTTTCAGTTTAGTCACCTGGGTCCTGGTCGGTATGTTTGTTCAATATAGAACAAGGAATAGTGATATTGGAGTTGTTGTTGTTGTTCAAGTCGTTGCTTTGCGTCACGATCACTTGCCCTAATCTTCCTGTAACACATCGCTCAGACTCAATCTCTATCACTACGAGGCAGTAGGTTAGAAGCTGCCTGACTGCTCTATAGAAGGCTAGATATAGAGTGTGTTGCTACGTCACATATGCATGCCATCCATGACAAGAAGATTTAGTTTCATTTACGACTGTAAAATTTTGGCATGCCCGATGAGCACTAGAGATCACTTGGTACACTTGCCGTTTCCCCTTCCCACACTTTTACTCAGTATTCCTTGCTATGTACCATGGCCTACATCCGCAAGCCTAGAACAGAAAGACCCTGGAGATCTTATGAACAGTGAAAGTATATCGTCACATTCCGGAAGCCACACGTGAATGTGGCGTCTTGGTCGTCGTAAGCGTAGCTATATGCGTCCGGACACGTCTCCTTAAACCACGGGTTGTTGCCCTTACAGGTCGTTGCATCGTATATGCCCCTGCAACAATACT